ATCTCGCATATATGGTGATGGCAGTTGAACGGCCTTAAACGACACGAATCGAAGGTTGAAAAGGGAAGAATATTTTTTGGGCTTTTGGGAGTAGAGCTTTAGCCAGGCTGGGGTTACCAAGGGTGTTGTATCATGATGTTACTGGCGTACCCCTGAGACCGCCCCTGCTCGCGCCGCCAGTGCTGCTGCACTTTGGTACGCCGCGGCCCCGAATGGCGGTGTACTGCCTGGGGCGCCACCCGCCGGAGTCGGCGCCGCCCGCTCGCTTCGCGGGATAATACAGTTGCCGTTTAGCAGCGCTCGTGTCTGGTCTGGGCAGACAACACGTAGACTTGAATATGGCGCAGCCGCATTGAACCTAGAGTAAGCTTAAGCAAGCATAAGCAGCACATTAATTTAAACAGTGTTAGTTGTGAACCAAGTCGAGATGCCTGGATTTCGTCCTCCTGAGGAATTCGACTTCACATCGCCTGAGAGGTGGCCGACCTGGCGTGATCGTTTCGTCCGCTACAGACTGGCATCGAGACTACACAAAGAGGACGGTGACGTTCAAGTAGCTGCGTTGATTTACAGCATGGGTCCGCAGGCTGAGCATATCGTACCAATATTTAAGCTTACTGCTGAGCAGAAGGAGGATTTTGAAGTTGTTGTCTCAAAGCTAGACGGGTACTTCATTCCGAAAAGGAACTTTATTGCAGAGCGTCACAACTTCGAGCTTAGATCTCAAAGCTCAAGCGAGACTAATGAATCGTACATCAGAGCTTTGTTCTCTCTAGCTGAGCATTGCAGCTTCGCTGACGCTGATGAGCGTATCAGAGATCGTCTCATCTCAGGAATGTCTGACATGGAGCTGTCCCGTAGAATTCAGCTGAAGTCACTAGAGGAGGAAGTGTCTGCAAATACCGTCATTTCGATGATGCGTAATGTCGAGATCGTGAACGGCCGTGACAGCTCTGATCCGCCTGATATCAGTAGTGTTTGTGCACCGGCGCGGCACAGGCGGCCGCGCCAGCAGCGCCAGCAGTACAGACGTCAACCGCAGCCTTCCACCGCGCAACGGCAACAGCATAGTCAGCGTACCGACTTTTCAACAGCATGCAGATACTGTGGAAGAGCACGTCATGCGTCTCCGAAAGATTGTCCTGCTAAGGGAAAAATATGTGACAACTGTCAGAAAATGGATCATTTTGCGTATGTTTGTCGCTCCAACGGTGTCAGAGCGAGTGCGCGGACAGAGTCCATTGAAGAACTATCGCCGCCCAACATTTTTGTTGACGAAGCAGACAAAGCTTGCGCTTGCGCGCCATGGAGAGTTTCAGTCCTTCTAAATGGTCAACGAGTCGCTTTCAAAGCTGACTCTGGCGCTGATGTTAGCATTCTGACGCTGAAAACGTACAAGAAGCTGAAACTGCCGCCGCTTCAACATGCTTCAAATACTCTGACAAGTGTTGGTAGCGTGCTAAAAGTAGAAGGAAAGATGCACGGAACACTCCTGTTCAAGAACAAAGCCGAGCCTAAAGTGTTCTACGTTGTTGACTCAGCTAATGATCTCCTCTCCAGGTCTGCTTGCTCGCGCCTGGGCGTACTGAGATTCACAGGTGAAGTCAACGAAGACGTCTTCGGAGAGGCAGGTCTCCTGAAGACAGCACCGGTCAGCATTCAGCTCCGTGAAGATGCTGTTCCATTCGCCCTTGCCACTGCAAGAAATATCCCGCTGCCACTGATGAAGCCGGTGGAAGAGGAGCTGAAGAAGATGGAGCATCACGGCATCATCACGTCGGAGACCGAGCCAACGGACTAGGTCTCTGCGCTGGTCCCCGTCCCGAAGCCGAAGAGCAGCGGTGTCCGCATCACGGTTGACTACAAGAGACTCAACCAGTCTGTGAAGCGACAGGTGTTCCCGATCCCTACTCTGGAGCAGCTGACCTCCAAGCTGAGTGGCGCGACGCTCTTCACCAAGCTGGACGCCTCTTCCGGTTTCTTCCAGATCCCGCTGGACGAGGCGAGCTCCAAGATGACCACGTTCATCACTCCGTTCGGCAGGAGAGGTTCCTGCGACTGCCGATGGGGATCTCGCTCGCACCGGAGTGCTTCCAGCGGAAGATGGAGGAGATGCTGGACGGACTGCCCGGAGTCATCGTCTACATGGACGACACCGTGGTGTTCGGAGATGCTGCCAGCCACGATGCACGTCTCGAGGCCGTCATCAGGAGGATCCACGAGTCTGGCCTCAAGCTGAACAGGAAAAAGTGTGAGTTCCGGAAGAACGAGGTCAAGTTTTTGGGGATGAAGATCAGCAAGAACGACATCAGCATGGACGAAGAGAAGCTCGAAGCGATCCAGCAGCTCCAACCACCAAAGAATGTCAATGAACTAAGGTCTCTGCTCGGAGTAATCAACTTCCTGGACCGGTTCGTTCCACACATCCAGGAGTGTTTAAGACCACTGAACGAGCTTCTGAGGAAGAACGTAGCATGGATCTGGACACCACAGCAGCAGCAGGCGCTGGATGACGTGAAAGCAGCCGTCACTTCAGCTCCAGCTCTGGCGTTCTACGATCCAGCACGAGAGACGGTGGTCAGCGCCGACGCCAGCAGTTTCGGCATCGGAGGATGTGTTCTCCAGAAGCACGGCTCCGTCTTCAAACCTGTCGCGTTCTGCAGCAGAAGCCTGACTGACCCAGAGACCAGATGGGCCCAGATTGAGAAGGAACTACTCTCCGCGACGTGGACGTGCGAGAAAATGCACATGTTCCTGTCCGGACTGCCATCGTTCGAGCTGCATCTGGACCACAAGCCTCTGATCCCGCTGGTTAACACGAAAAATCTCGTGGATGCGCCCATCAGATGCCAGCGCATGCTCATGCGCTTGATGCGATACAACCCCACAGCGGTCTTCGTTCCAGGAAAGCAGCACCTGGTGCCCGACTTCCTCTCACGTCACCCGCTCCAGAAGCAGGATGAAATCAGCGCTGTGCTTCAAGAAGACATACATGGATTCTGTGAGAGAATCTTCAGCGATCTTCCCGCCACACACCGCAGCGTCTGGTGGAGATCAGCAAGGCGCAACAAGCAGACGAACCCCTACAACGCGTAGTTCAGCAGACTCTCTCTGGCTGGAAGGAGGGAGCGAAGCATCCCGACCTGCTGGACTACTTCGCCTCTCGGGGAGAGATGAGCGTTCTGTACCTAACGTGTGGTACACTGCTGATGCACGGGCGACGCATCGTCATCCCTCCGAGTCTGCGAGATGAAATGCTCACCCGACTTCATGATGACGGACACTTCGGTCTGAACAAGTGTCGCCAGAGGGCAGCAGAATCGATCTGGTGGCCTCAACTCAGCATCGACCTGAAGCGTCATCTCGAGAGCTGCTCGTTCTGTCAGGTGAACGCGCCAGCCCAGCACGCTGAGCCACTGGTGACAACCCCAACGCCATCAAGACCGTGGACGCACGTTGCAGCAGACGTCTTCCACTTCAACAACTGCAACTGGCTCGTCACGGTGGACATCTTCAGCAGGTATCTGGAGATACAACGCCTCCCGAGTCTCACCAGCAGCGCAGTCATCGAGCGTCTGAAGCGCCTGTTTTCCCGCTTGGGGATACCAGACCTCGTGACAACAGACGGAGGAACGCAGTTCACTTCAAGCTCGTTCGCCAACTTCACAGCGTCCTACGGCTTTAACAAACCGCATCACAGACCCGCACACGCCGTCTTCCAACGGAGCAGCTGAACGGGCCGTGAGAACCGCCAAGTGGATACTTCGCCAGAGGGACCCCCACCTCGCCCTCCTCAACTACCGCACGACGCCTGTGGAAGCAACCGGATACTCCCCAGCCCGTCTCCTGATGGGACGCGAACTTCAATCTCGTCTCCCCATCGCTCAGCCAACCGGAGAAGCGACATGGCAGCATGCCAAACTCCGAGATCGGCAGAGGAAGAAGAAGCTGGAGACATGCTTCAACCGGAGACACGGTGCCCGCGATCTTCAGCAGCTACAGCCCGGGGATCATGTTCGGATCAAGACGGAGAAGGAAGCAAGCTGGTCCGAGCCCGCCACCGTCATAGAGAAGCTCTCTAGACGCAGCTACCTTGTGGAGCTCAAGGGTGCTCGCTATCGTCGCAACCGACGTCATCTGATGCAGATCCCTCCGTTTCAGGTGTTGACACAGCACGGTTCCGCGCGGCGTGCTGACTGTTCTGCACACAGGGTGCCCGCTCCAGACCTCCTCTCTGGCCGCCATGCTGAGGTGGCGCCACCGGCGCTGCTGCAACCGCAGCCCGCGCGAACCGGCGCCTGCACCACGATCGGTAGTGCCACGGCCACCACCAGCTGTGCCGTCGCCCGCGTCGAAAGCGGCGCCGCCGCCGTCGCTGCCGCCGCTGACAGAAGCTGCGGCCCAGCCCTGCAACGCGCAAGTGCCCCAGACACAAGACCCAACGCCACTGCTTAGTTTTAGTCCGCGTAAAACACGCAGTGGCCGCGTTTTCTGAGAGGCATCAAAGAGAAGTAGCAGAGAAGCAGCAGGAAAGCAGATGGGAAGCAGCAGGAAAGCAGCAGAGGAGAAGCAGTCTGAGAAGCAGAAGGGAAGCAGCAGCCTCAGAAGCAGCATAGCAGCAGCAGGGAAGCAGCAGGGAAGCAGCAGTCTGTCGCCAATAATTTCGTTTCGCAAGCGTTTTTTTATATATTATACATTTATTTGCATTTCCTCAAGGGGGGAGATGTATCATGATGCTACTGGCGTACCCCTGAGACCGCCCCTGCTCGCGCCGCCAGTGCTGCTGCACTTTGGTACGCCGCGGCCCCGAATGGCGGTGTACTGCCTGGGGCGCCACCCGCCGAAGTCGGCGCCGCCCGCTCGCTTCGCGGGATAATACAGTTGCCGTTTAGCAGCGCTCGTGTCTGGTCTGGGCAGACAACACGTCGACTTGAATAGGTGTCATTATCGAAATTGAAGACTCTCTGTGCCTTGTTGTCAAGACGTGCTAGAACGTTCGCCAAAATATGGTTTCATGAGGCGGCGTTTGACATGAATGACAACGAACAGACGACGGCATGAACAACAGCAAGAACGTCGGCTTTCCACTAGGATGCGATTCGTTTCATTCCTTCTCCTTCTTTATGCTCTGCTTCTGCTCTGTCAGTATGTCACGGTATTGAATTGCGAAGCACCTAGCTGAACACGCAGATATTCTTAAGTTCGTGGAAGCTTCATGTGGGCATAGCATGACTTTACACGGTTGTTGTGTGTAACATTACTGTATTCATACATTCAGAGCTGGCGCATCTACATCATAGAAGACATTTTAGTAAAACCGCATGATGCACTGAAAAGCAAGAAAATAAAATGAACACATCTCATAAGACTTAAAACAAAAAATGCGACCTGAATGTCCTAAGATCAATACTCTGGTTTGTAACCCCTGATAAAATACTTAAGAATCCACTTGCACACGTCCATGCTGGGTCGTCGCCGCCTCAGGTGTTGAGTTGTGGACTATCACTTGGCTACCGTCCCAGTTTCAGCTCCCAAGTTGTCCATCGGACCAAGATACAAACGAAGATCGCAGTAGCCCCGCACATTAAAAACAGATACGGAATCCAGAGCCCGATCCTTACCACCACCGAGCACAGTGAGCTGATCATCGTACAGCGGTTTACGAAACCCAAACTTCTTCTCAAAGCCACTAGGTGGCAGGAGCAGTGCACCGGCGAGCTCCTCTGCCGGCAGCGCGCGGCTGCCGGTCACGTGTCCCTCTCTATCACGGATCGCCGCTGGGCGAATATCCAGCACCAGGTCCTTGCCACCGGCAAGCCGCAGCCGCACGTCTTCCGCCGGAATTTCGCGAGACACGGGCGCGCCGCGGCGCGCCCAGTCTTTGAAAGAGCCGTAGTAGAGACGCAGGTTGCCGTAGCCGGCGGGAATCATCTTAGCGGCAGCAACCTGGATGCGACGGCCGGACCGACACATCAGGACCATCTCCTGCTCAGGTGGCGGCAGCACGAAACCGTACCTCTCACGGAAGTCGGTAGCCGTCAGCGTCAGGGCCTCGTCCAGCTCGTGCAGCGGCAAGTTGTGGGAGTTCGGCAGGCGGCCCGGGTCCAGTAGTTCGGACCGGTTGCGCACGTCCAGCAGGAAGATGGCGTTGGCACGCACCAGCGGCTGCAGCTCCTCGAACGCGATGCCGGGATAGGGCCCGGGCCACTCGGCGGGCGCCGCCCGTCCCGCCGCCGGGCCGCCCACGAGCGCGGCCACTACCAGCAGCCACAAGCCCATCGCGGTGCACGGACACCCCACGGAATGGACGCGCTAGATCTCGCCGCGCAACCGACCTTTTGCTGGTCGTCTCGCCGCCGGTCTTCACGCGTTCCCCTCCCGGTCCGGTCTCTGACCTCGACTGCAGGCCATGACGGCTGCTCGGCCCCATCGCGTGACGAGCCCACTGGCCTCGCACCTATTTTCACCAGATAGTCGCCAGTTTTCCCCCGCATACCGCCAGACTTCGAGACACCGAGACGTGCGTGGGCAGGGCGTTTCTCAAAGGCAACTTGCTTGTAGGTCATGTCATGGGGGTCAGGCATGTCATGCCGCCTCAGAAAAGCTGGTTGAACGAATCTTTGTACTTTTTGCATCACTGTACACTTGTCACAATTATTTTGTATTCTCTTGTCTGGCGTATCTGCACAGGCTATACTTAGGGTTATGATCCCTATGCCACGATTCAGTGTGCTGCCGACTGTTGTTTGAAGCGGGCTGCTGATTAATTTGTGGGACTGGAAATGGTCTCCATGAAAAAGTCTGTTTATATGTGTTGTTTTTACCCGCGCCGGACGTGCGAGCGCAGCCTCAGGCTATGCAACGTGCATTTGCCTACGTCATGCTTTTGCTGATTGCGTCATGCTTTTAGACGGCTATGGCCGCCGCACCCAAAATGTGCTTTCCTTCCACGGATTTTATCTGGCCACGCTGTGCAATCTTTTAGAGAGGAGGCGCTCCGGGTATTTGGGTGCATGCTTGTACGTATGGACCCAGCTAAGCTTCGTCATATTTGTAGACGACTGGCGGTTGCTGATCGCTTCGAGCCTTTATAGATATCTCGTACAACTAGACCGGAGCCAGGTACGCCCAGGGTGTGCTCAGAAAGGACATGGTGCAACTCAACAAAAGCAAACCCATATGCGCGGGTGTTCCGGGCGTGCTTTCACGTGAATATTTACGGTGCCAATAGGAGCATACGACGCCTGTACATTCGGCATTGTTTCCGGCTGATGAAAGCAGCGCTTCATAAAACGCATCAGTCATTTTAAGAAAGAGCAATGGGACAGCCCATTTTACAAAATCGCTGTGAGTGGCGATTGGCAAGCATTCCACTGACCGTACAGTGTTCGCTGCCTTTGTTGTTGGATCCGCTTGTGTGGCCATTCAGTGAGGCCGTTTCGGGCGATGCACGGATTCGAGCACGACGTGCTCAAGTTGGACTCCGGACTACAGAAGTCCTCAGTTGATTGTAACTTGTAATTGGTGATATCGACCAAAAGCTGTACCCAGTAATTTGCAAAAGCAGACTGCTCAGACGGCAGACAGCCTAAATGTGTTGGACACACGGGTAAAGCCTAACAACGCTGTGACTCAGACGACAAACAAGACTAGTCGGTGCCAAATAGGCAATAAGTGACAACGGACAACGACGGCATCGCAAGGGATTGAAAAGTGGTGTGCTATGTACCATAAGTGCCTTGGTATGGCAACCAACTTAAGTGGTGTCGTTTATCGCAGCTGGAATAGCATGTTGCGCACGGCAGCGCGAGGTTCTCATCCACTCTAGGTCCGCACGTGTTCTGGCAGCCTATATCAGATCCAACCGAATGGTGGCCCTGCCTCAGGCCCAGCCTAAGCCTCAAACCTGTCAGCTAATGCTGCACAGTGACTGGCCTTTCCGCTCGTGCAGCGGCCGGCACCAGCACAGCCGGCACGGTCCCTGGCCCACCGGAGCTGGCGCTGCCACCTGTCCTAAGCTGCCGGTTTCATGAGAGCCGGCGTGACGCTCGGTCCCACCACTCACTAGAGCCGATCAAAATTTGTACCTGTGCAAACAACGCCCAAAACAACTACAGGTGCTGGTTCTTTTACCGGGCGGGGCCGCCGAAGGCTGAAATGCGAGACATTTGTTGTAAAACACAGTCCGGTGGTGGATTACGCGTAAAGCAGCGTCTGGCACCCATCCGCATCGTGTAAACCACACTTAATACTGTTCAAGGTCACTTTTAAAGGGGCCTCACAGGTAACCAGCTCGGAATGAAGCAACCAGTGGTTCATGGTGTTCTGGTACGGGGGCACGGTGTAGTGATTCGTGATGTTTAGGATACAGCGGCAGTGAAACCTCTCCGGAGATGGGAAAATATAACTTTCACCTGGCGTATTTACATCAGTCATTGGCGTAATGTTAAATTGTGGGAGGAGACACGTCTGACACGCCGCCCCCCCCCCCCCTCCTGCCCCTCCAACTGCTTACTTAATCTGCCGTCCCTGTTGCGGGTGCGGAACTGATCACTGGGGTCAAATCAATCCGATGCCAGCTGCAATCCAAGGACATTCAAAGCAAAAAGAGAGGGATCCTGCAAAACCCTCCAACACAGCAATGCCAAGGTGCAACATTTTGCTGAACTCGGCATTTTTCCGATGGGGCATCTCATCAGGGGGCCAGTTCATCATGGCAGCGCACCGATATCGGCATTCGAGTGGCTTCCCTGCCAAACCCTGGGATGACCGTGGAATCTCTAGTTGCGCCTCCAAGCGTACAAGTTTATGGCACATGATGTTTTTCAAGGCAACTTGACGGCCACCGTGGCCCACTCTGGTATGGAGCGCCAACGACTGGGGACGCCGTATTAGCGCTCAGGGACATGGCGTAATCGAAGTTCGACTTCATGCCCCACACGTAGAAGCCAAAAGCGTTTACTACTCGGCAATCATGCCCTCAGCCATTCGGAAGCTGATGTCCCTCTTGTGATTGCACAAGCCTGCTATAAATTTAACATTGATGTTGCCGGTCTAGAAGCAATAAACAACTAGAGCACGGGAGCATTCTGAACCAAAACGGCACCTGCATACGGTGGAAGTCTACACATCTTCGCATTCAGGAGCAAATGGGGCGGGGGGGGGGAGCATCGGGGTTCCGTGCTCCCTTTTATCAAGTTGTCGTTAAATGTGTCACCATTCATATGTATAACTGCCGGCAACTAGGAACAAAAATTCAGAACAGAAGCTTCTTGACTGATTGAAGGGCTCCCAGATCAGCACACGACCTTCCTACCACGAAACAAGTCCTCCTTTTCCATACAAGGGCCTTTTGATGCACAAAGAGGCCGGGCTCCCTAATCACGAACGGGGTCTTTCCAGTTCCCAAAGAGAGACACAAATTCAAAACAGAGGCTCATTATCCCAAATAGACATCATGATCTAGAACAGCGGCCTTCTGGTGCGCAAAAGAAGCTTCTAAGGTATAGCAGTTACCTTACAATTGGGAACAGGGCCGTCTAATTCATGAAGTGTACCTCCCGAGCCAGCAAAGAGGCCGCTTAAATACTACATGGAACCTCCTCATCCAGGGCAAGAGCCACCAAGTCCACAACGGGAATTTTGTCGTTTTCTGCATAAACTTCACGCGGGGCCTGTCACGAGTTCTCCGCACATCGTCAGGCAGACATTTTTGTTTTTCGACGCAAATAAGTCGCCAGCCTGGCGAAATTTCGCTAGGTCTGGCAGCCCTGGGTGTCACGCATGACCTCTGTCGGACACCTCACTTGACCTTGGTCGCGGTGAAGGGAGTGTAGATACGGGGGCTCCGCTGGTGGCCGGTACGTGGCGCTGATGACCTCACGGTTCTGGCATGGGGTGTGGGACGGTGTTGACCAACAGATAAACTGACTGCAGGCAGCAAGGAGATGGCTCGTCTGGTTGATGAATCTTAACAGCGGTGAAAGTGGAACATCCCTTCTGTGCATGGATGTTACATTCATGCACATATTCGCAATGATAGATAGCCTCAGGGCAGTTCGTCACGCTCCATGTCACCCGTAAACTGATGGAAGGATTGTGAAGACTAAAGAAGCTCTTCCAGGTTCTTCTCCACCATAGAGAATTACCTACCACGTTGGTGACCCGCGTGTTCTCATTCCTTTTGCGTTCACACGGATGTCAGGAGAAAGAAGAAAGGCACGTTGCTTAAATTCAGTCACATTAAAATATGCTGTCTTCGGTGACGAGATAAGCAGCATAAATTTGTTTTTACGAGAAATTTAGAGTCTGCCAAAAGACTTCTCATGCTCACGAGACACTGATCGTGTTGTAGAAATTGAAAATCGCTGAAGCACTCAGTTTAACATCAGAACGCGCTGCAATATTGACAAATGTCCCGGAGTGAAGACAGAAATGCACAGCCGATGTTCAATTGGATCCGCCTTGTCATAAACAAAGGTGGGAAAAGTAGAGCTTTCTGGCATCATGCTCCAGATTTGAAGACGGCGACGGCTGACAGGCGACGCCCGGCCTTCCCGGAAATCGTCCCGCGCTAAGAACCATGCCAAGAGTTCCGGGACTTCTCGTAGGATGAGGCGCATCTCTCATGCATGCACCATCGAAATGTGCCGTTGCCAAAAGATGATTGGGGTACCAGGTGTAGAACCTTAAATCTGGATTACACATTCGCGGCTGCATAGAGTTCTGGGCAACGAGGTGCATGTGGTGCGCTGTTGCGGGCAATAGATATTCGCGTTATATGGGATTGTTTGCAATAACACACAAATGAGCGAAACATGCAGCTTATGTTTTTCACGAACACATAGGTAAAAATAGTTGAGCACAGGTTTGAAAAATCCGCCAAGGTGCACTACCCCGGCCGCTCCGCAAAAAAGGTTCTTACCACGTGGTCACAATAAGGTTTGTTTCCTTATTACTGGCTCAGCACTTTGCGAGTGACATTTAATTTACATGGACTGGTTCTGCGACACAGAGGTAGTTTAAAACTCACCTACTTTCCATTTAAAAATGTTCCTCACCCCAATTTTTGCATCAGTTAAAACACGTATTTTCGGCTTTAAGCAAATACCGCGGAAGTAAACAATCCAACTATTGGTAACACGCTGCCACTGCTAGCTTTGGGCCGGCCTGTTCCTCTCAGGTCCTGCATCTGCTTAACAGGGACCCACTGCCCGTCCGCGAAGCGATGATTCTCCTCATCGATTGTAGCTGTCTCACTCGCTCACCCCTGACGGGTGGAGATGCCTCTTCCACTTCAGGCCTAAAAGGGGGCTGTAGACATATTCTTAGTCGTTTTGTCGGAAAAAGCGGGTCACCCACAAATT